TGTTCCCTGCCCCACAGAGATGGATCCCTCTGCCAGGGCCCATCAGGAGGGCGGGGAGCCCCTGTGGCGGCCTCTCTCCTGTCGGCATGTCTTCCTCCTCCGGAAGCAGCGTGCCGCCCACCCTTGGGTTGGAGGTGCTCATTCCAGGGTGGGAGAAGGCCAAGGCGACAGGACACCAACCCTGGGGTCTGGACTGGAGGCAGGTCCTGGAGTTGGGCACTGTCCCCAAGGGCTTCCTGGCTTGGCCTCTGCCGCTGTCCCATGGGTGGGCCCTCAGTGTCCAGGGTCGGATGAGCACGGCCTGACGTGGTGTCAGTCTCCGGGGTGAACGGGTCTGTGCTCCAGTTCCCCTGTCACTGTGCAGCTGTGTGACCCAGGCACGTGGACCCTCCGGAGAGTGTTGGTGGAATGGCCACCTCAGTGGCCGCTGGCGAGGATGGCACGAAGCGACACGAGGGGTGAGGGATTCACCCCAGCATCTGGCCCTGACAGGGGTTTCACAGTAGCAGTGACAGCAGAAGGAGGTGGGGAAAGGTCCAGCCCAGGGTGTGCTGAGGGCCAGGCCAAACTCCTGGGGGTGGCTGACTTGTTGGCAGGAGGATGGACCAAGAGAACATGGTGACCCCTCTGACCCTGCCCCCGTCCTGCGTCACGCCAGGAGACACCTGTGTTCCTGTTCAGAGCTGGGTCAGTGTCACACATCCGGGGCAGCTCCGAGAAGCTGGGGCCCTCATGCACTCACGTGGTTGGCAGTATGTTCTGTACCTGGCAGAGATCCATGGAGGCCCGAGGAGGCACGCACCCTGAGGAGGCTGCAGGTGCCCTCTGCTGATGGACGGCAGGGGCGATGAGGTCAGGAGTGAGAACCAGCCTTACACAGTCACGCCCGCTTGTCTGTTCCCCTTCCATGGTCAGAGCATCCGCTGTGCGAGACCCTGGCATTGCAGGGACCAGGGGCCAGCCCTGGGGCCTCTCAGCGTGAGGGGCCACTGAATGGCCCAAGGAGAGGCCCCCTCCTGGTTCTAGGGTAGGCCGAGAAGCCAAGCGTGGTGACCCCAGCGTGGGGCACTACAAGTTCAGGTTCTCACACGGAGGGAGGGGACAGGGTGTAGGCTGGCCTGTGAGAGTGTCCTGTCCCCACTCCGGCCCAGCAAGCAGTGGCCTGAGCTGCTCCTCCCTGAGTGTGGGGAGGAAGTGAGGCCGCTCCAGGCTCTGTGTGAGGTAGCAACGTCCAGGTGAGAGAGGTCACCCCCTGGTTTTGGGTGCTGCCACCTGGGTGAGGTATGGCCGACAGCCCCCTAGCCACACCTCATACCTGACCTCAGCTAGGTAGAGGGGAGGCTGGTCCCAGGGGGAAGACGTGCTGAGGCCCCACCTGGCCTGGCCAGGGTCTCCCCACTCCGGGAGCTGACGGGCACCACAGGCAGGAGGGCGACTGACTGCGGACTCGCTCGCCCGTAGCCGGCGCTGTGGCTGTCATCAGCCTCGTCTCAGAGCCGCGGGCAAGCAGCTCCTGTGGGGCAGGAGGGGGGTCTGTCCTCACCCCTGGGGGCCTTGGCGGGGCTGGCCCAGGTGAAGGGGTGGAGTGGGAGGGAGCGGGCAGGCCCTGATAGCAGCTCCTAGGTGATACCTGCTCCTGGGTCCAGCCTTCATGGGGTACGAACCATCTTCTCCTCACAGATCTGTGCACACACATGTCCAGTTCTGCAGCTGCCCTTGCCCACTTGATGGGGAGACTGATCTCCCCTGGCTGTTTCTGGGCTGGAGGCTGGGGACTCAGAGTGACTTTAATTCCTGTCTAGTCACGGTTCCTCTGGGTGCCTGGTTGGGAAGGAGTGGGGAAGAGGCCCAGCTCCTTCCTCACTTGCTCTGGGGACAGCTCTGCTCTGGGGACAGCTTCCAGTGGCTAGGCTACTGTCACCTCACTCATGGGCCCTGCCCCACCTTCTGCTGCACTGCCCCCACTTCTGTTTGGGGCTTAAGCAACCTGCCTGCCCGCCCTCTCCAGGAGCCTGGCATTAGAGGCAACAAGGGCGGGCAGCCAGCTCTGTTTACCTGGCTGGGACAGGCCTGGCTCTGGGCTTACAGCCACTGCTTAGGAAGGGGCACCCGCCTCAGGCAGGGAGTAGGTAGGCCTGGGGACCCTTTTGATTTTTCTGCCTTTAGAAAGCTAGGCTGCCACTGAAGGCCTCTTTCCTCCTTAGTCCAGTGAGAGTTTAGGCCTGGGCCTGCCTGGTCTGCAGGGGGTGAGGCTTACCTGAGAGTTCAGACCTAGGCCTGCGTCACATCCTGCCCCCTCGGTGTGTATGGAGAGGGCCCCCTGCCACCTGGTCTGTGCCCAGACGGAGGCTGAGCAGGAGGGAAGAGGACAGGATTCCCAGCAGGAAGGGAGCCATTGACAGGAGCAGAAGTGAGGACTGGGCTGATACTTCCCTCATCTCCTCCTTTGCCTGTTTTCTGTGAAGGCATCCTGGTGGCACAGCAGGTTAAGCATCGGGTTGCACATCCCAAGGTTAGCAGTGTCCACCCACCAGCCCCTGTCCAGGAGAAGGCGGAGGCCATCTGCATCCCTAAAGATGTGCAGCCCAGGACCCAAGAGAGCAGCTCCACTCTGCCCTTGAGGCAGTGAGCTGGTTCCACTCCAGGGCAGTGGGTGCTTTTTCTGTTAGGCTGGTTTGTCTGCTTCGGGTTATTTTGCTGTTAGGTGAGAGCTGAGCTTTACCTGGAGCAGCCCTGCCTTGTAGGACAAATTTGGACAAGCTGGGCCTCCCCGCCCACTGGATCTGCTCTTGCAAGGGGGTGGGGTGGGGAAGGGCATTGGGTGTGGTGACTGAGCTCTAGCCCAGTGCCTGCCTGGCACAGGGTAGGTGGTTAACACACTAGACAGCCAACCCTACCTCTCACTGGGGCTTGTGGGAACCTTGACCTTCTGCGCCCATCCCGGCTCAGCCTCCTACAGTCTGTCTCCTGGGCCCTGCACAGTGTCCCTAGGCAAGGCTCGGTTCTCTAGCCCCCAAGTGGCCTGAGTCGGGTGTGGGCAAGGCTGTGCCGTCTGTTCCCGTCCTCCCTCTAACCCCACTGTGCTGCGTGGCCTGGCTCCGGCACCTTACGGAGCGGTTGGTGACAGCCCGGCTGTTGCTGTTAGCGTTGTGCTTCTGGGGGGAAGAGGAAGGTTCCTGAAACACTTCTGCGTGGCAGAGAGGCCCCAGACCACCCGTGAGGTTTGGCTGGCATTCTCAAACGTTGGTCTCATCCACTGGCCCAGTTGTACAACTCTGGCAGTCCAGTGTCTGGGCACCAGCGGCCTGGGGTGTGGGCCTGCAGCACACAGGAGGCCTGGTGTCCGCCCAGCAACAGGGGCCAGGTAGAGCTGCTCCCTCGCCCGGGGGGACCCGTGGAGATCGAGGCACACCTTCATCTTCCTGTCACCATGGCAGCTCTGACTGGGTGGGTCATTTGGGGAGGGTGTCAAGGCAGCTCTTGGGCCTGGCACCAGCAGGTGGTATAGCTGTTCGACTCTGCCAGGCCTTGTAGGTTGTGGGCCTGGGGCTGGTCTTTTCTGCTGACCCTAAGGGCTAGGTTTGGTCTATGTCTGCTGGCCAATGCCATTTCCCCTTCCCTAGTTCCCTGTCTCACGCGACTTCACACTGGAGGGCACTGTGAGACCTCTCGGGAGGGGGCAGTAGGGCTGGCTTTAGGACCAGCGCGCACCTGAAAGCTTTGGATTCCAAGCAGACCCTCCTCTGTCTGCAGTGCTGGGACTCGGGGCCCCATAGCTCTGAAAGAGATACTCTGGGGTCTGGCATGCCCCCTCCTCCTTCCTGCATAGCCTTGTTTTTACCCAGAGTGGTAGTGGGTTTGGCCACTGCCCTGCCTCCCCCGGCGGCGGGGATTTTTCTTGGTGCTCATTCTGCTCCAGTTCAGGGACTGCCCAGACCCATCACTCTCCACGAGGAAAGGGAGCCGGGTGGCCTAGGCTGACACTCCAGGGCTGAGATTTCACTGCCAGCAAGTCGATGCTGGCCCGTAGTGACCCTATAGGACGGGGTCAAACTGCCCCTGTTGGTTCCTCCGACAGTAACTCTTTACAGGAGTAGCTTAGGACCAGAGTGGGTGGGGTCTCAGCATGACACCTCCACCTCTGGGGCCTTGGCAACCTCAGTAGCACCCCCTGCCCCACCCCCCACCCCGGGCAGCCTTGTGTTTTCCTGGGAGCCCTCCCTTGCCACTCTGGTTTGTCTTAGAGCTTGTCCTGTCTCCTTGCCAGGGCTGGATTCAGCTGTCCACCGGCTCCATCCTGGCATGGACTTGCTGAATAATCTCCCGGACCTCCTCTTAGTCGCCGGCCACGAGGAGGGAGCTGTGATAGGGCCACAGCACTGTGTCCCCCACCCTTCCCTGCTCCCAGGTGCCCCAGAGTCCTGCCTCCTTGGTAGTTGCTCCTCCGCGGTGACAGGAGCCTCCCTGTCTCCAGGTGGAGGGGAGACGTTTGCTTGCAATGCGGGTCTCATGTGTATGTGTGCGTCACGAGCCTCTGCCGAGCATACCCCAAGAACTTTGGGCATGCGTAGGATTCTTGGAAGCCCCGAACCTTCCTGTCAAGAGGCCTGGTGTTGGGAAGGGAGGAAGTGGTGGGAAAGCTGTCCGTGACAGTGTAGCACTCCGCCACCTTCCTGAGGGCTTCTGGGATCGGCACGGGGGTGGGGGGACGGGGGAGCGAGCAGGGGTTTCCTGGCAGGGAGGAACAGAAGGCTCAGAGGAGGAGGGTTGAGTTGACAGGCAGGATTTTCCCGCGAAGAAGGAGCTCTGGAGTAAGGTGAAAAAGGACCTTCCAGGCAGAGGAAGTAGCTGACGCAAAGCAGGAACCCTGGGAGCACTGGCATGTGTGGGGAGCTGCAAATAGTTCCATGTGGGCTTGTGCGGGGGTGTGGTGGGAGAGGAGGCAGGCTGGTCCACAGCCTGGAGCTCTCCCTCCCTCTGCCACCCAGATGCTCCGTGGGCACCTGCCCACCTGGGTTCTGCTCCACGCTGGGGTCGGGGCTGCTGAAAGAGTGAGGCGAGTGTGGACAGATCTGGGCAGTGCCGTGTGGGCCACACCAGGACGTGCCAGGCTTGGGGCTCATGTTCATCTTGAAGAAGTTCTGAGTGGGAGTGTGAAAGATTGCAAGTGTCCCCAAGGGGACTGCTGAAGTGGTCTCAGGAAAGACTGGCCCCTAAACCCTGGCCGGACAAAGCAGGCAGAGGAGAGGTTAGGTGACCTTCCGCCCACTTGCTCTTCCATCCTCTGTTGGACATCACTCTGGATGGCACAGGTGGCTAGGGTCAGGGACATGAAGGGGGCCTCGACAACAGGCCCTGCCCCTTGGTCTGTGGGCCAGAGACCTGCTAGAACCTTGTGCCAACCCCAGGTCTGGCAAAGTCTCATGATGGGCGAGAGTGGGGCGGCTGCACCATCTAGAGACAAGAAGTGGTACTGTATCGGTCCCCTTTGCCTGGTGGGTGGGAGGAGTCTTGAGGCCGAGCGAAGAGGCTGCTGTAAGGTAGATGTGACGCAGGGCCACGGATGTGCACAGTCAGGTGGGGGAGGAGGGCACTGAAGGGCTCCTTAGAGGGTGTTTAGTCTGAAAGAGAAAGAGGCCTGAGGAACGGCATTCAGAGGTTTGGGTGGGGAGGACCCTCAGCTGTAACCACCACGGTGATAGAGGGCCTGCTGGCCCCAGGCTGAGTGCTGCTGGACAGCCGCTCACTGAGCCGTGCTTCGGTAGTGGACATCAAGGACCGGACCCCCGCCAGACCGGATGCCGTTGGATTCCAGATACTAGAACCACAACTGCTGTGGGGGCCGCAGGGCCTCTCAGACTGGCAGGCCTGGGGTCCCAGGTGGTGCGCATGTGGATGCACTGCTCACCTCCCCAGAAGGCTGGCAGTGTGCGTGTCCACCAGAGGCGTCTCAGGAACACCACCTGGTGCTTGGGCTGCTGGGGAAACCTGCCGTTGGAAAGCCGGGGGGCACAGCTGGACGCGTAGGGGACCCTCGTGGTGTCAACTTGAAGGCTGTTGGTGCCTTGGAAAGGGCCCAGCTGGGTGCACTGAGGGGAGGCCAGGGGACAGTGACTGGGGACAGGGAAGGCGGGGCCGAGGGAGTGACCTGTGTCAATGTGGAGGACCTTGGGCACAGGTGGCAGGAGAGAAAGGGGTCTTCAAACAGAGGAGTGAGAGCATGAGGCTGTGGGGAGCCAGTCTCCTGGGCTCAGGGTCAGGTGCACCAGGGCCCAGCCTGAGTGCTCACGCAGACACAAGTGCAGGACAGCTGACAAAGAAGGAAGTGAGACCAAGCAGCGGGGCTCCCTTGTGCCTGGAGTGGTTGGTGGGTGCTGGACCTTCTAAGCCTGGGGTAGGCCTAGTCCTCACCTAAGGGCCCACAGGCTGGGGTTCTGGGATCCCGGGGAGTAGAGTGGGGAGCAGAATTCTAGGGGTGAGATCTGGGGAGGGGATCAACTCTCAGTCAGCCAAGAAGTCACTTGGGGAGTGGGGCCGACTGGGCACGGGCTGCAGAGGGAGTGTGCAGACCCAGATGATGGTGTCTGGCCTGCTTGAAGGTGTGTGTGCCTGTGTCTGTCCTTACACAGTGACTCTTGTTCTGACCAGCACGTCCTGTAGCACCCTCCCCCAGCCAGGGGCCACGCATCCTCACACACACTCACACTCACACTCACACTCACTCACACTTCTGCCTCCATGAAGAGCTCTGGGCTCGCTGCCGTGCCCTGCCTTCCATTTCTGCTGGGGCCCACTCTTTGTCTGCCACATTTCCTCTGCCCGTGAGACTTGCTCTCTTCCAGGAGTTAGGATCGAAATGAGCCAAGAGTGGGGCTCGATCCGCATCCTGGGATCAGCCTGCCTATCGTTGATGGGCTGAGGGTCGCATTGGGAGACTGGAAGACCCTTGTCCTGGGCTTGTGTTTCTGCACAGAGCCTTCCCTCTCCCGGGCTCCTGGAGGGCAGAGATGGCTGGTTCCTGGCTCGCCCTGCAGGCCTGCAGCCGGCCTGGGCCCACTTGTTGAAGCAAGAAGGAAGGAATGGGCTGCAGGAGGCCCCAGGCAGGGACATGGCCTGCTCTGGTGTCTGGGGCTGCGTGGCCTGTCAGAGCTGGTGGTTCTGCTAGATTCAAGCTGCCACAGGGCAAGCAGTGTAGGGACCACCTTCTTTGCTCACCTCTGACAGCCGTTCTCTGCTCCCCACCCTCATCCCCAGGTATCCCCTGAGAAGTGCCGCTGTGCAGTGGGCAGCATCCTGAGCGAAGGCGAGGAATCGCCTTCCCCTGAGCTCATCCGCCTCTACCAGAAGTTTGGCTTCAAGGTATTCTCCTTCCCAGCGCCCAGCCACGTGGTGACGGCTACCTTCCCCTACACCACTCCTCTGTCCATCTGGCTGGCCACCCGCCGTGTCTACCCGGCCATGGACGCCTACATCAAGGTAACCTTAAGCCTGCTGTGTAGATGGGAGATGTAGTGGTTTGGGGAGGCCCAAGCCCTGGGCTCCCTGGGGTGCTGGCTCAGAAAACTGGCTTGTCAGTGCTGCCCTGGCTTCAGCCTGAGACCATCTGAGTGCTCAGATGGGTGGGCATGCTTACACGTCCCCATCCCACTGGAGGCCCGAAGAGCTCTCACCTGCTGGGCTTCACCCAGGTGAAGAAGCTCCATGAGCCAGGGCCGCCCCCTGAGCCCAGGCGTGGGCAGCGGCGGCTGGCTCTGTCCCCATACCTTGCCGGACTGGCTGTTTGTAGTACTGGCAGCCCAGCTTGGCTGGGGGGGAGTGCCAGCCACAGGTGATTCGATGGGGCTCGCCGTCCACAAAGCCCCTTCTCTAAAACCCTCTCTAGAGTGGGGTCCCAGGGAAGTGACCCCAATTTGGACTTGGCAGCCATTGTTGATTCATTCAGCCATGTGTTGTGTGAGACTTGGGAGTCAGCGGTGGAGGCAGGCAGGCAGGTGCTGGAAAAGAGCAGGCTGCAGGTGTGAGAAGCCAGGGTCCAGCTTGGACAGAGTGGTCAGGGTGTCCATGGAGAGGACCGGCGGCCACGCCTGTACACCATGAGCTAGGCTGTGTCTCGGCCTGGATCACAGGTTGGGCCGGAGCTTAGGAGGCTGTTAAGCGGAGCCTTGGTGGTGGTCAGAGAGATTCAGACGGAGTAGATTTAGTGTTGGGGCAGGTCTGGTGGACTGAGGGTGGGAGGAGAGGTCTGGAGGGTCTGCACAGCATGCTGCGGTGCTTTTGACTGTGTGCCGTTGTGGGACATGTTGAGGGAGGGGAGGGGGCCTGGGGTGCACACCAGCCCTGTGGGTCTCGGTGGAGCTGCCTGATGAGAGGCCTCTTCATAGGGGCTGGGGGCCGACAGTGACCCCGCAGAGTGGAGTTGGGCGAGGTGTGGTGACCGTGTTTGCAGACAGGGGTAGTGTTTAACTGGGAGGTTGTCGTGAGCCTCCGAGCCTCTCTGGGGCTGGGCAGGCAGTCAATGACCTGCACAGAGCGTGCGGTCCCTGCCACTAGGAGCAGGGAACAGGAAGAGGAGAAACTGTACTTGGAGCAGCAGACGTGGGAGAGGTCTGGCCCTGATGGAAAGGGGAACCAGACAGGGCCTGGGGACTGAGGTGCAGGACTTTGGGGTCAGGGTGAGGAATGAGTCCCTGAGTCTTGGGGTCATCAGCTGTGACTGGTGGCCTTGCATAAAAGAAGAAGTGTTGTTCTGGCAGGGCCTGGAGAGGCCCGCCATGCTGAAGGGCAGCAGCCAGAGGGGAGCTGTGGGGCAGGGCATGGTTACCGGGGGCTGGAGGCTGCAGGCAGAGGGAGACAGATGCTAGGTGAGTGGGCCAGAGGTGAGGGAGGCCAGGAAGGAAGGTCTCAGAGCTGTGGGCGGGCGTTCAGCATTCCTCCTGAGGGTGAGCCTTGCCGAGCTGTGCTGTCTCGTCCTGCGTGTCCGGCCAGTCTGGAAGAGGGCCCTGGGAAGAGGCCTCAGAGCAGACCACGGGCATGGGGGTGGCAGCAAGCATCTCGGCCATCAAAGCCTTTTCCTGGCTCCAGGGGTTTATTTTTAGACACCTTTGTCCAATTTTCCTGGCCCCTGACAGCTTCACAAGTTGCCTGGTTTTGACGTCACTTCTTTGATGGGAGCCCTTCCACCCTCCTCCCCTCCTGTGGGAGCCTCCACCCCCTTTCCTCCCTGGGTGAGGAAGCCCAGGCGTCTCTGATAGGCAGGCGGCATGGTGTGCTGGTATGGGTTTGGCCACCAGCAGTGAGAGGGAGAGGCTGCAGGCTGCCCAAAGTGGAAAGATGGCCCAGGCCCTCTGCTTGTTGCCGGGAGGGTCCCCTGCGCCCCAGGGTTGAGTCTTATCTTGTGCTGTGGGGCATGCAGCCAGGTACAGTGAGGAACAAGCTGGCCCGGTGTGCTGGCCTCTGCATGTTGGTGACAGCGGCTGGCCCCATGGCTTTCAGCCCAGGAGTCATTGTTAGTGTGAAGGCAGTATGTTCGCAGCTCCTTCCTCCCCCGCCCTCCTCCCCGCTGCCCAGGGGTCAGAGAAGGGCTGAGACTAATGAGGCGCTGGGAGCTTCTGACTCTCCCAGCCTTGACAGACAGCTGGCTGCTGTTAGCTGAGGGGTGCACCACCCCCACCCCACCCCCCTTCCCTCTTTCTGGTTCTGAGGCTGGGCAGCCGTGGAGGGGTTTCAAAAGGAATGATGGCAGCCGCTGGCTTTCTGTAAAGGAGACAGGAGGGAGACCAGGAGCCCTGCTGCCAGGAGGAGGGTGAGGAAGGCCTGGCTGTGCTGCCTCGCCCGCCCAGAGGTTGGGGCCAGGAGGAGGGTGATGGGCCTCAGCGAGCAGGTGATGCCCTGGTGGTTACAGGTGTGCTTACAGTGGAACAGAATGGACGTCATGGGACAACAGAGGCCTGGCGTGTCGCTTCGAGAGCCCAAAGAGAAATCTGCGTGGCCATCTTGGGAAGAGGGGCTGGATCCCAGCTCTGTGATCTGCAAGGCAGCCCCTGGCACTGGGCAGCTCACCCCACCCGGCAGACTGAGCTGCCGCAGTGGGAATGGCTAGGGGCCCAGGCAGCGCACCTCTGGATAGGGTGTGGGCAAAGGTGCCCTGGTGCCGTGTGCTCATCGCCCTGCTCTGTCAGGCCTCCCCACTGAGTGCAGGGGCAGGGACTGTTATGACCACAGGAAGGAGAGACCCAGGTGTCAGCCCAGAGCCATGGGCAGAGGTCTCAGAACTCCCCTCAAGCTGGCACCAGTCTTCAGGAGTGTCCAGGGGAGGTTCCGGGCTTGTGGGGCGGACCGGGGCTCAGGGCAGGCCTGGGGACTTGTGCCCTGAGCACAGTGACAGTGTCTGTCTGGAGCAGTGGGAAGGAGGGACATTGTGAGTCTTGGACTCCAACCACACACTCCATGCTCACGTTTTCCCCATACACACCACCACCACCTCCACCACCACC